AGAGAGAGAGAGAGAGAGAGAGAGAGAGAGAGAGAGAGAGAGAGAGAGAACGGATCCCCTTAACACGGCTCAGACGGCCCATGCAGGCTATCTGAAGGGTCCTCGCAGACATGTAGCTCAGACCCCCCCCCCAAAATCGAGGCAGGCAGTGAATATGAAATAGAGCAGTGAATATGAAATAGAGCACGAGCTGGCCGAATATATAGTCCAGATTCGAATTCAGGTCTGTGTTTCAGCAGTTATGGGTTGCTCACGTAGCTAGGGCCTGTTGGTCTCTGCACGTGACTCTTAGGGCCTGGCTGCACTACTCACGAAATGTGCAAAATTAGAATGAATCTTCTGCAGAACGTGGAATAATACGCCACCATATGTTTTGTCTTTTGTGCATTTGGTGAGTAAAGGCCCTTGGAGCCACTGCACGTATTCGTAAGAAAAGAAAAACGAGAAAAGAAAAGAAAAGCGAGAAAACAGAGAAATGGTGACCCATAACCGACATGCACAGACCTGAATTCGAATCCAGACTATATATTCTCTGCCCACCCTCAGGGAGTACAAGTTTGAAGTGTATCTCTGCATGACGTCGGGTCTGAGCTAATATGGTGTAGGGATCCTTCCAAAAAGAGGCTGGACACAACGAGGACATTTTTGTTTTTCTATTTTTTTAATGCGCCGCATCACTTGTGCGTGCGTGCATGTGCGCGCGGCACCCCGCACATGAGCTGCAAGTATGATTCGAACATCTCTCTCTCTCTCTCTCTCTCTCTCTCTCTCTCACACACACACAAACACACACACACACACACACACACACACACACACACACACACACAAAGGGGGTCCGAAAGGGGGTCCGAAATCCCCCGGCAGGTGAGTGCGCTGGGGGGGCCTGGCCCCCAACTGGGTGCCCTGCCCGGCCAGGCTGCCCGGGACCTCCCCCGGGCCCCTGCCGGTCACCCGTGCGGCCCGGGCGTACATATGTTATATTCGACCGTACGTTCTATTCAGGAAAAACTCAGCGATTTTGGAAAGCCCATTTTTTTGGGGGTTAAAACAGTACTACTACTACTGCTACTGCTGCTGCTACTGCTGCTACTACTACTGCTGCTGCTGCTGCTGCTACTGCTGCTACTATTGTTAGTACTGCTTAGCACTGCCACTTAATATAGCGCCTAGTACTATGGCTTAGCACTACCACAGAGAAGACTACTTGATGCTGCTACTATTACTAAGACGATGTCGTTTTCAGTACTATTGCTGCTACTACTAGTACTGCTTAGCACTGCGACTTAGTATAGCGCTTAGCACTGTCGCTTAGTATACTGCTTAGCACTGCCTTTTAGCACTACCACTGAGTATACCAGTTATCACTGCTGCTTAGTATAGCACTACCACTTAGTCTACCGCTTTGCACGCTCCGCTTAGTATACTGCTTAGCACTGCCTTTAGCACCGCTTCGCACATTCCGCTTAGTATACTGCTTAGCACTGCCTTTAGCACCGCCACTTTGTATACCAGTTAGCACTACCGCTTAGTATAGCGCTTCGCACTTTCCGCTTAGTATACTGCTTAGCACTGCCACTTAGTGTACCACTTAGTACAAGCACCAGTAATGGTTCGTGCTGCTACGTGCTGCTATGACTATGTAGTACACTGTTTAGCACTGCCAGTATATAGTGTACCACCACTTAGTACAAGTATCAGTCACTGTGTTTGGTGCTACGACTACTACTGAGGGCGAAAATAAGTACTTGGTACTGAGTGGTGCATACATGTAACTGTTGATAAGCAGGGCATGAGTTAGAGTCCTTCAAGGAATCTTCACGGACTCCTCATGGAATCTTCATGGAATCTTCATGGAATCTTCATGGAATCTTCATGGAATCAAATGATAGAAAAAATTAAGGCGCTTATTCTTAAAAAAAAAAAAAGAAAGAAAGTTGCCAATAAGTTTCTTTACTTGGAATACAAAAGCGTAGAAAATCGAGAAAATCTGAAAGCTAATGTGCCTGTCGAGATGCTGGCTGTAGAGCATATACTGACACCAGGACGTTTTCGACGGAGCTCTGGACGTAAATGCGGTCACATACATCCAGGTCAGGCTGTAATTCCAGTCAGATACGCCCATGAAAGTCCTATTGTGAGTACAAAATCGAGAAGAAAAATAAAATTGAGAAAATCCGAAAGCTACTGCGTCTGTCCACATCCTCGCTTTAGGAGAACTCTTTCTCTCTCTCTCTCTCTCCCTGTCTGTGTTTCTTCCCGCATTTGTTGTCTGCTCCGTCTCTCTCTCTCTCTCTCTCTCTCTCTCTCTCTCTCTCTCTCTCTCTCTCTCTCTCTCTCTCTTCTGATTCGTGCAAGTCGGAGCTCGCCACCGCTCTATTTCTGCTCATTGTTTTTTTATTCATCCCGATTTCATCTGGAATTGAACTCATGATCGGATTACCAACAACTGCCACGTGTGCGTACAATTCAGCCACTTGCAGTGAAACCATCTTCGCCACGTCAATCACCACCACCACCATCGCCACCTCAATCACCACCACCACCATCGCCACCTCAATCACCACCACCACCATCGCCACCTCAATCGCCACCACCACCATCGCCACCACCACCATTGCCACCTCAATCACCACCACCATCGCCACCTCAATCACCACCACCATCGCCATCACCACCATCGCCACCTCAATCACCACCACCATCGCCACCACCGCCACCACCTCAACCACGTGGCGATGGTCATTGAGGTGGCGATGGCGATGTTGGTCATTGAGGTGGCGAGCTCCGACGGTGAAACCACCATCGCCACCACCTCAACCACCACCACCACCACTTCCTCCATGTTCTTCCTCACCTCAGCCATCACCAGCACCACCACGAGCTCTACCTGCAAAGAAAATCTGGCCCACCCCTGACGATACGAAGGAAACTTAATGAATGTATATAGCGATCCTTCCGGTCTGGTGCAGTCCGATGCTGTCGGATCTTCATCAATCCAGCGGGCCAACTGAAAAAAGGCGGGAGGGCTTGTTCCGGGTCAAAACAACGAGGGCGATCCTACCTGTCTTCCGTCGAACACAGCGCACCCCGATCACGAATGTACAGAAGCTATTCTTCCGGTCCGATGCAGTCATGATGCGGGTGCGTTCTGTTCGGGGACAGACGGGTCAAGTTAGTGGTCCTGTTAGTTCTCTCAGTCTCTCTCTCTCTCTCTCTCTCACTCTCCCTCTCTCTGTCTATTCTCACTTACTATTATCACCAGGAAGTGATTAGCCTTTCCTCCCCTCCTCTTCCTCCTCCTCTTCCTCCTCTTCCTACTCCTCTTTCTCCTCCTTTTCCTCATTCTCTTCCTCCTCTTCCTCCTCCTCTTCCTCCTCTTCCTCCTCTTCCTCCTCGTCCTCCTCTTTCTCCTCTTTCTCCTCTTTTTCCTCCGCCTCCTCCTCCTCCTCTTCCTCCTCTTTCTCCTCCTCCTCTTCCTCCTCTTTCTCCTCTTCCTCGTCCTCCTCCTCCTCTTTCTCCTCTTCCTCGTCCTCCTCCTCTTTCTCCTCTTCCTCCTCCTCCTCTTCCTCCTCTTCCTCCTCTTTCTCCTCTTCCTCCTCTTCTTCCTCTTTCTCCTCTCACTCCTCCTCCTGCTTTTCCTCTTCCTCCTCTTTCTCCTCTTCCTCTTTCTCCTCTTCCTCGCGCTCTCCTCCTCCTCGTCGTCGTCCTCCTTTTCCCCCTCTTCCTCCTCCCCGTCTTTCTCATCTTCCTCCTCGTCCTCCTCCTCCTCTCCTCCCCCTCTTCCTCCTCCTCCAAATCGCTTCCCCGTAGAGCAACAAACAATACGTTCGCGCAAACGGCCGTAAACTGACCTAAACGGTCGTAAAGTGATGCAAACGGCCGTAAACGGAATGCAAATTACACTGAGAAGCCCAGAAACTACCTTCTTCCCCGGAATAGAACGTATTCATTTTCGCTGCATCTGGACAGAAATGTGAGCCAAATGCGGCCATAATCACAGCACGTTGTATTCGGGGGAAGACGGTAGCACGTGTCCAATCGTTGTGTCAAAAACAGCATTCTCGGTGGAGGGATTAGAGGGCAATAGCGTGCTGGAGGTCCACGTCAGCAGCAAGAGCCGATTCATAAAAAAAAAAAAAAAAAAAAAAAAGAGCCGATCGAG